GTTGCTATGAGTCAGAACTGACTCAATGGCACTTAACAATAACACCAACATTCATAAACATAGGTGGAATTTTTTTTAAATGTTGGCTAGAAATGTAAAGAAAATGAGGAAGCATCACTGGGTTCATTTACTACCTGCTGTGAACTCAAAGCTTCTGATGTAACTCCATTACTCTCTTATTTACAGCAACACAGATTTCCATTCATTTATACTTTTACAAAGACAGCTCTCAGATACCTTTGCTATCACCTGAAATGCAGGATTCATTCTGAGAAGAACCTTTGCTAGTACCACAGTAGCTCCGGTTTTTTTATATCAATTGCCTTGCCAAGTATACTGACATCACAGAACCATGGAAAGTGCCAAGATTATCCCAAATGACAACCAACAAAAAGAGTCATATGTGGAGGTTGTTCTAGAAAAGTCTGTGGCTGTGTTTAGATTAATTTGTTACAACTGTTAGTTGTTAAGTGCTGTCAAGTCAGTTTCGACTCATAGCGACCCTATCTAGGGTTTCCCAGGAGTGACTAGTGAGTTTGAACTCACAACCTGTGGTTCGAAGTCCAGACCCGATCCTGCAGGGCCACACTAGGAGTTTTTTGTTTCAATTTGAGTAGTAATTTTCCAAGGTTATCCATTAAAGTTCAGGGGTATTGCTATTTGGTTGGTTGTTTTTTAAGTTGCAGAAGATTGATGCTCAGGTATCTGTAACTATAGTTTATAAATGCAACTTCCAGATGGAAATGTGTGTGATGAGATCATCTTGTCATGAATAGTCTTTGTGCTTCAATTAATAATGCAATTTAATATTTAATTTTCTTTAAAAACTTATATCTTCTGTCACTAAAGTCCAAAAAAGCATATGAAAATCCATGTCAAATGCCTTTTTGTATCAGAAGGGATTTAAGGCTTTTCTTGAAAAACAAAGTTACTTAAATTCAAGATACCAACAGCATCTATTGACGCCAGGATTCTATAAGTCGTAATTGGTTACCACACACATTTGGTGAAATAGATATGTGTCATGTGGTAAGATCTTGCTTCTCTTTTAGAGGCTATTAACCTCTGTGGTGTTTAGAGGTGGGTCTCTTACATACCAGCACCTATTCCTACTGTCTCCCTAGTACAACCTGTGTTGTTAAAGCATTGTTGAGTCGGTTCTGACTCCTAGTGACCCTATATAGGGTTTCTGAAGAGCAGCTGTTGGTTGTAAGTTGCTGACCTTGTGGTTCGCAGTCCAGTGCTGATCCGATAGTGCCGTACCAGGAGTTCCTCACTTGTGTAGGTTACCAACACATTGAACTTAATGCTTATTGGAAATGTTAAACAATGTTAAAGCTACCATCAGGTTTGGAGTTATCATAAAATCTACCCTGTTCCTTGCACTTTGGTATCTTCTGTATATCAACTTAGATACAGTTGGCACTTAGAACATCTGAATCCTGATATTTTCAGGTTTTGTAGGGGTAGGTAAGTTAAGTATTGGGTTTCTGACCACAGGTCAGTGGTTCAAATCCACCATGTTCCATGGTCAGCCATTCCATGGAAGAAAAGATGAGATTATCTGCTCCCATAAAGATTTGTAATCTCAAAATTCCTAAGCAGCAGTTCCACTCTGTCCTAGAGCATAGTTATGAGGCAGACTTCAGTCAATGGCAATGAGCGTGTTTTGTTTGTTTTTAATGGAACCAAGGAATTTCACCTGCAGCTGCTCCGTGCTAAGTAATTATTGTGGTTCAAGTTAGAGATTTCCTGAATTCTCAATGAAGAGGGTAAACACTGACAACACCTCACCACTCATCAAAATAATAAACATTCATTGAATCTCACAGTCCTGATGTGGTGCTGTAGGATAAACACTGGACTGCTAACTGCAAAGTCTGCAGTTCAAACCCATTGCTGCTCCTTGGAAACCCTATACAGAGTAGCTAAAAGTTGAAACCCACTCGATAGCACTTAACAACAACAACAATGGAATCTTAATCTTCTGATGAGTAAGGACACCTGCTGATTCTGTCAGACCACCCAATAGCCTCTTGATTTCCAAGTTGTGCCTAGTAATAAGCCAAGGAGCTATACCTATCCCGGAGGCGACAGGTATGGACACAGTGTGTCCTGTTGATGGAACACTCCAGTTGACACTTATACCAGTCCCAAAAGCCCAATCTGCCCTCATGTCTCCCAATTTATATACTTTATGTTATGACATTTTGATGTAATTATAAGGTGTCACTTAAAATGAATTACTTTTTCATCTGAGTTCCAATTCAACTTTATTCTTAGAAATCATCACAATGAATTTTATTGATAATATTTTACATTTTTGTCTCCCTTTATAGACTCTAGCACCATGATGGTTGGATGAATGATTCATTAATACTCATCATCAGCATTTGGAGCTGTGATTGACAAACACAATGCAATAGAGGTAAATGCTAGTTCTGTTCCAGTGAATCCAATGGATAAACACACCATGTATGCAAAGGCTTTTGACTGCATTGTGCATGATAAACTATAGATAACACTATGAATAGTGGGTATTGCAAACACTTCAATATGTTCCCGAGGACTGCCTAAAGGCAGTCATTAGAACAGAGCAAGGGAACACCAAATGTTTTAAAATCAGGAAAGGTGTGCACTAGGGTTGAAACCTTTGACCCTACTTATTCAGTCTGTATGCTGAGTAAATAATCTGAGAAACTGGATTATCTGATGAAAAACGTGGCATCAGGACTGGAGGAAGACTCATTAACAACTTACAATATGCAGATGACACAACCTTGCTTGCTGGAAATGAAGAGGACTTAAAATATTTATTGATGAAGATAAAAACTACAGGCTTCAGTATGGATTGCACCTCAATGTAAAGAAAACAAAAATTCTTACAGCAGGACCAATAAATAACATCATCAATAATGGAGAAAAGATGGAAGTTATCAAAGACTTCATTTTGCCTGGGTCCACAATCAGCACTCATGGAAACAGCAGTCAAGAATCATTAGGGAAATCTGCAAAAGACCTCTTTAAAGCCTTCAAGAGCTAAGATATGTTTGAAGACTAAGGTACGCCTAACCCAAGCCATGATATTTTAAAACACCTTACAAGCATGTGAATGAGTCCTGGTGTGGCGCTGTGGGATAATGCACTGGACTGCAAGGTTGGTAGTTCAAATTCACCAGTCACTCCTTGGAAACACTATACAGGGTCACTATGAGTTGGAACTGACTCAAAGGCACTTACCAACAGCAACAAAGCATGTGAAATTTGAACAATGAATAAGGAAGACCATAGAAGAAATTATGTGTTTTCATTACGGTGTTGGAGAAAAATAATGAAAGTACTATGGTCTGCCAGAAGAACAATCAAAACAGTATTAGAAGAAGTACATCCAGAATGTTCCTTAGAAGCCACGATGGTGAAACTTCATCTGTCATACTTTTGGACATGTTATCAGGAGGGACAAGTCTCTGGAGAAGGATATCGTGCTAGGTAAAATGGAGGGTCAGTGAAAAAGAGGAGGTCCACCCATAAATGGCCTGACAGAGTGGCGGGAACAATGGGCTCAACCCATAACTTCAATGATGAGGATGGCACAGGACCGGGCAGTGCTTTGTCCTGTTGTACACAGGGTCACTATGAGTTGGAACCGACTTGATGACATCTAACAATAACAACACCTATGTTCCGTAAGTAGAGAGAGTTCTGTACTGTCACAAGTAGAAATCTTCCACAAACTATCTACAGATTTATCAAGTGTATACAAATCAGAGGCAAAGAAACCACAGTAGATGGTTTAGGAATCTATAAAAGAAAACAATTAGAAGCAATGACTGCAATATTAACTTTAGATATTTGCATGGTCGAGTCATAGAACACGAACGCAATTTAAACTTGCAGAAACTCCTAGAAACACGAAAGCACCAGAAAGCGATAGAGAATTTCATTTTTCTCACCATTTAGTTTTTAAAGCTCAAAGGAGTATGAAATACTTCTACAACTCAAAAACATACGAGCTTATCAAGCTAACTTCTCCCAGCGGATAAAGGAATCAGTGAGAAAACAACCTTGTGTGTTAAGATACTATTGATATTACTAGAAGACAATAGAAACAAAATGTGCATATTTTACAAGATATTGACACTAAAATATATACTATTTTATACTAAAATTGCATATAAGTCTCATTAACAGCAAACTTGAAAATCTGAAACCTATTAATCAAAATAAAAAATTCTACCTGTAATAGTAACTATGTCTATAGAATTGAATATAAAATCATTCCAAAACAGGCTAGATTTCCCAGAGTTAAATTTTGAATTTAATACTGGTTTTTAAATTTTATGTTGCATCCTATAAAAGTTATTTGCAAAACGATGCATTTAATTAACTCAAAAATAATTGTTCTGAGACTTAACTAAAAATAAACTAGAGGACAGTAAGCATCCGCTAAATTTAAATGTTTATGAAGATATTTACTATAGCTACAAACGATGTGCTTATTATGAAATTGCTCAAGTAATTAAGGAGATTTACTTATTGAATTTAAGATCCATTTCTTGGAAAACACTGAGACAAAAGTATACCAAGAAACCACAAAGGTCTGTCCTGTACTTCAGTTTTCATTTTTTCCTCCCTTTTACAATATCTTGAAACAGTCAGAAGATCTGTCATAATTTAACACTTATAGCCCAAATTTGTCACACTCTGTTTTCAGATATCTGAACAACATTATATTATAATGGGAAAAATAATGAGCTCTCAGATATTGCTGTTAAATGCTGTCGAGTCAATTCCAACTCATAGTGACCCTGTGTAGGATTTCTGAGGAGCAGGTGTTGGGGTTAAATCCTGATCTTATGGTTTGCAGTCCAGTGCTTACCCTACAGAGCCATACCAGGACTCCAATAATAGAGAATAATAATCAGCTGTGTTTTCTGGGCTCCTTTCAGAAAATCGATCCAGAGTTGCTATGAGTCTGAACAACTGAAGGCACTCAACAATAACAACATTGTAACCTTATGGGACACAGATGTGTGCATACGATTAGATGTTGACTGAGCAGGCATTATGTAACTCAAGACTTCTTGAGATTTGGAAGTGCGCAAAGTTTCAGGCGGCTCAGCAGCAGCCTGGGCATGAGGAAGAGAAGATCCAGCAAAAAGAACATGTGCTTACAAGGAGAACCCATACCTTGTTTTTTTCCTGCAGTTCAATTTGTGATGTCTTCAAGACAGGACCTTGAGAGCTTGTGCTTAATTTATTTCTCCTGTCCAATAGTTCTTCCATTTTTCTCACCTGGACCTTTAGCCTTCTGTTTTCTTTCTCCAGTTCTTGCCTTTCTGTTTCAAGTATTTCCCGCTGGCTCCGCTCCAAGGTATTTTCAGCCTGCAATCTCTCTAACTAAACACAGAAAACACAAAGGAACAGTATGTAGCATTCATGATTGCCACAGCTCCCAGCAAATGGGTCCTCACCAAGAAGGAAGCGTTCATGGATGGGTCCATGCATATTTTAAAAAGCGCACTCTACTTGTTTGCAAAGGTAAGATGGCTCAGAAGTCATCCGGCCTGGCCATGCCTTAGATACCTACAGCTTTCCTCTTGGTTCATAAGTAACTGTCTCTACAGTTGCTCTGGCCATGCTTATGAAGGGAGTGAGCTAGAGAAACACTGAAGATTGATTTTGCAAACACATTGCTCTCAGCTGGTGTGCATTTACCAGTTGAGATGGCACAAAATAATTTCTTGGGCAATTTTGATTGAATATCGTTCGTTTATGCTGGGTCACTATTGGTTGGAACTGCCTCCATAGGATTTACCACCACCACCACCACTAACAACAACAACAACAACAACATAGTTCATTTATTTTCTCTCATTACGTTGGGTAGATATGCTGGCCTGCTGGTAGGCAGGCAGAGAGAGTGATTTAAGTTCCTGATTTGATTCCAGGTAGGTCCTGATGTGGAACTGTAGGACAAGCACTGGACTGCTAACCACAAGGTCAGCAGTTCAAATCCACCAACCACTCCTTGGAAATCCTATACAGGGTCGCTATGACTTGGAACTGACCCAAAGGCACTTAACAATAACAACAATAGGCAGCGTGCATAAACACAAAATATTGAAAACTCTGTGATTACGGTCCTACAAAGTAAAGTGAACCTTCCAAGAGTGACTAATTCGATTTTTAGGGAATGGTGGTTTCAGTTGTGTACCACAGAGTCGGTTCCTACTTATAGCAACCCTGTACAGCATTGCCAAGGCTGTACATCTTTACAGGAATAGAAAGCTTTATGTTTCTCCTACGGAGCAGCTGGTAGATTCGAACTGCTGACCTTATGGTTAGCAGCCCAACTCATAACCCACTCTGCTATCAAAGCTCCATAGTTAAAGAGTGGTGGAGGCAGTTTTGTGCCATAAAGTCAGTTCTGACTAATAGTGGCTCTCTATAGAGTTTCCTGGTGTGACACTGTGGGTTAATACACTGGACAGCAAAGTCAGTTTGAACAGCAAGGTCGGCGGTTCAAGCTCACCAGTTGCTCCTTGGAAACCCTATACAGGGTCGCTATGGGTCGAAACTGACTCAATTGTACTTAACAACAACAACAGGGTTTCCAAGGGCTCTTGGTGCGACACTGTAGAATCAGCACTGGACTGTGAACCACAAGGTCAATAATTCAAACCCACCAGCTGCTCCTTAGTAAACCCATTACAAGGTTGCTATGAGTTGGAACAGATTCGAGGACATTTAGCAACAACAAATAGGATTTCATTCATTGATGTAGCATAATTTCAATATTTGCCTCTTTCAGTTTTTATTATAATTTTTATTGTAATTTTCTATATTTAAATTTCAGACCGGTAATTTCAAATATACTTATTTTCTACTTTTATTTGGTTTAAATATTTCCTCATTATTATTATTATATTGTTGTTGTTAAGTGCCGTGTCGAGTCAATTCCGATTCATAGCAACCATATATAGGATTTCCAAGGAGCAGCTGGTGAGCTTGAACCACTGACCTTGCAGTGCAAACAACTGTGCACTCTGATGCATTATCCCACAGTGCCACACCAGGTTGAATCATATTTGGGTTTTGTGTTTTCTTCTTTTCTAGATGTTGAAAACAGAAATGATTATTAGGTTTTGGTTCTGAATTTTAATCCTAAATTTAGAATTCTAACCCTAACCTCAATACTCATCTTCTAGATAAATTTAGGGAACTTCACAAACCTCCCCCCACCCCCACCCCCATGTCATCCCAATGTGAACCATTTTTTCCTAATCTGACTAAGCTTGTGAAAAGTAAAATTAATTTAAATGATTGGGAAACAATTTGTATAAGCGATGTTACCACCTAAGAAGAAACGTGGTGGTGATATTATTTCAGATACAGAATTATGCATGTCCATCTCCTGTATATTTGGACATATGTATAGAAGCATATCTTGCCTTATTGTGCTTCACTTTATTACGTTCCCAGAAGTGCATTATTTACAAATCTAAAGTTTGTGGCTGCTCTGCATCCAGCAAGCCTATAGGCATGTTTTACCAACAGGATGAGCTCACTTTCTGTGTCTATATCACACTTTGGTTATCCTCACAATATTCCAAACTTTTTCATCATGCTATTGCCTACTTAGAGCCCTGGTGTGGCACTGTAGGATAAGCACTGGACCTCAAGGTTGGTTTGAACCACAGCATCGGTAGATTAAACTCACCAGCTACTCCTTGGAAATCCTACACAAAGTTACTGAGTCGGAACCAACTTGATGGCACTGAACAACAATATTGCATGCTTAACAGACTACAGTTCAGTATAAACATAACTTTTATATGCAATGGGAAAGCAAGAAATTTGTCCAACTAGTTTTGATGCCAGCTTTGCTTTATTGTGGTGGCCTGGAATGTTTGGAATCAGAAATATCTCCAAAGTCTACCTGTATCCAAATGCCAAAGAACTCAAGGCATGAATCTGTAGACTGAAGCAACTCATCATAGTTCAAAACTCTTGTATTCTAATTCTGGTTCTGCCACTTGCTCATTGGCTAACTCTGGACAAGCGTCTTATTCTGTTTCTCAGTTTCCTCAGCTGTCTAATAAGGGTCAGGATTGTTGTTGGTAAGTACCGTGGAGTCGGTTCCGACTCATAGTGACCCTACACTGGGTTTCTGAGGCTGTTAATCTTTACGGAAGCAGAAAGCATCGTCTTTCTCTGGCAGAATCGCTGGTAGTTTCAAACTGCCAACCTTGAGGTTCGCAGCCCAATTCGTAACCACTACGCTACCAGAGCTCCTTAAGGGTAAGGATAGCAGCCCCAAATAAATTCCTAAAGTTACTGTAAGGAATGAATAAGACCAGCAACTCAGAATGCTTCTAATGCTTTCTAATCTAGGTAAGCTGGTTTCTAATTTGTGTAAATTAGCTTCTAATCTATATAAAATGGCTAAAATAGAAGGCATTTTTGAAGTGTTCATTAAGGATAAATGTTGGAAATTACAGAATCTTTTCATTGTTCATTTTAAATGGGATGATCATAGAATATCGCCTTGTTTTTATGTGACCTTCAGTCCATTTCAACCCCTAGCAACCCTGTGAACAGTATGGTACAATTATGAAGTAATTTTTGCATGCCAGTTAAAATTCTAAAATAATTCTAAAATCTTAGTCAGCATAAAGAAAAATGTTAGAGCCTAATAATAGCACTGGGAATGAAATTCAATGTAGGAAACTGAAAACTACTTTTTCACACACATATAATCATATCATTATAATAGAAAACCTTCTATTCCCAAATCGAAAAGATTTGTTACTGTCTATCAAACGGGAAACCCAGATTGCGTTCTTGGCATTAGACCTTGTTTATCAATTAAATATAATACATTTTAATAGATCAAATTTTAGATATTGTGGTTTGACATTTGAGGTGCCTGCTTGGGAATATGAGGTGAAAATAGTATTTCACAATGCAATTTAGACTGTGACATGCCTTTAATTAATAAGATAAATGTTAAATTTTTATGTCTATCATTTCATTACTTAACAAAATGAACAAAATAAAGCTGCAACAAAAGTCAGCAAGTTAGTGATATAAATTAATTTTAGAAGAATAAATACATTTTTGCCCAATGACAAATATAATGATATCGTGTTATGGATTTACAAATTGTAGGCAGATAAAAGAAACTGCCGAAG